ATGTGTGTACCGAGTTGAAGCCTAGTCTAACTTTACAGCACCCCAATCCCCAGCCCCGGCCCAAAGTACTTGCAGTGCGCCATTTGAAGTATAAACGCTATAGCACGAGGAAACCCTTGCCTTACACCAGGTTGTATTGGAATGCCATCATCCAAAAGGATCCAAAAAGGGTCAAATGACAGGAACTCAAAAGGGTCAAAAGAAGCTCAAGACTGGAGATAGGCTTCTGGACTTTGACGGGATCGAAACTCGAAACCCACCTCAACCAGGTTGAAAAACTTGTAGTCAGACGATGGACTAGAATTAATGTGAACTTGAAGAAAAGAACGGCATGAGGTAGACAAACCTGGGCAATGACAAAGCACTCACAGACATACAAAAGATGCAAAGCAACTATAGCCGACGAACAACTTGCTTTCAACAATTATAATTGTCTGTTCATATTTTCCCCAGCAACATGAATCACGCTTAGACTGTGACTCATCAAAGCACTGCAGTATCTGAAATACAAGGATATTAGATTTAAGATTTGAGTATCTCAAGAAGCAGAAGGGAATCAAGGTTATGCATGAAGAGGACAAAGAGCAGGATATATATCATCACCAATGAATGAGAAGATACCCAACGTTCTTAATCAAATATACCAAGTTATATAGAATACCAAGAAGAAGTCATGGAAGTGTCTGAAAGTGGATTTGTGGTCACAGAGATTGGTTGAGTCAAGCAAGACGATGAACAACCAGACTATCCACTAGCACCAGAAAACCTGACTGGCATTTTGTTTGGATTTCTGTTTCCCTGCTTCTTTGCTTCTCTCTTTGCTTCTTTGCTCTTTGCTTTTCTGTTTTTCTTCCTTTCTGTGCTTCTCTGCTTCTCTGCTTCTTTGCTTTTCTGCTTCTTTGCTTCTCTGCTTCTCCACTGTTCTGCTTCTCCGCTGTTTTCTGTTTTTTGCTTCTCAAGCCTGAATAAACCCCAAGTGCATAATATCAATACACCCTAAACCTATCCTAAACAAACACCACACCAACCCCCAACAAAACTAAAACAACTTTAAGTAACCCCTTAAAAAAACCTAAAAGCTTACCCCAGACCAACCCTAAATAAACCCAAACTACAACGATAACCCCTAAACAAACCCAAACTCTGAAACTTACTGTATATACCCTAAATAAACCGTAAACCAGGCCTAAATCGATCATACACCCACCCCACTTAGATCTTAAACCAAGCCTAAATAAGCCCTGAACAAACTCTAACTAAAACCGAAACCAACCTTGAATAGATCCTACATAAATCTTAAACCACGGCTAAAAAAACCCTAAACCAACCCTACATAGATCCTACACCAACCTAAATAAGCCCCAAACCAACCATAAAACTAACCCTCAAAAAAACAAAACCAACCCTAAACCAATCCGAAATAAACACCCAAACAAACCTAAACAGACCCTAAATGGACCCTAATCGCAAAATAACATCCAACATGAAAGTTTGAGCACCAAAAAAATTGCAAATAAAAATGAGAGGTTCGAACTCCAAAATGTCGCAGTACCGTTGAAATGGCAGCTTCCAGCTCCAAAATGCTGCAAATTGCAAGGAAAACGGACAGAACAGCAGATCCCCCCAAAATCCCAAAACGGCAAAAAAGTAATTCCCAAAACAATTCCGGACCCATATTGAAACACTCTTAGCGATTTACTACAACGAATATGGTAATGACGACTTGGGTGACTTGGATTCCACTTGGAGACAACTTCAAAGAAGTATATCCTGTGAAATGCGGTGAAATACAGAAGACACTATCTGATGGAGATTTTGAAGATGTTTTGATGAATCACATTTCTACCAGTATCAACATTGTCAATCACCTTGAGCAGAATAGACGTGAAACAGACAACTCGTGGTTTACATATTTGTTTTGAAACGGAAACCTGAATGGCTTAAAGAGATCCTGCCGTTATCCAACAGAAATTAGGGGCGACAAGATCAACAAAATGAACATGTAAACATCCGGCAGAATACTTGTAGATGGCTCTAATGTCTATTGTATTTGCTTCGCAAGCTGCTTCCATGACGGGGAAAAGTCAATGTCTGAAAAGGAACCCCCAGGACTAGGAGGAGGCTAAACCGAGTCCTTCCGGTTTCCGAGCAGGGCTTCTCCTTCACAAAATCTCAGGGGCAGGATGAAGTCAGTTGATGTACAACAGACCCCAATGATCTCTAGCGATCTCCTGTTGGGTACGCCTCAAACAAAGGTGTGTGAATGGATCCACAACTTCGAAAATATCTAGTTCTAGGATCTGAAACCACCCCAAAATAGGGGCCAACAATTTGAAGCCGGGCCTAAATAAAGACTGATTCTGGTACATCCCAATATTGACATATCTATCTATCTACAGAATATATAATAATATAATATATATATTATATATATATGTATAATATAAATCTACAAAGGGTCCCATGTTCAGGTCCTTGCAGCATGCTATGACTTCTCGCATAGGAGACTGGCTGGAAGTTGGTGCACGGCGATGTCTTTCGGAAACCGCGCTTCGGCAAGCTGCTGGCGGTCTCTGTGGGATCCGGCGTGGCTTGGAGCGGACTTTGCGGATGGAAAGGGATTGGGATTGACAGCAACGGCTGGAAACGTTGAACAACGTAGCAATGTATTCAAAATATATCTCATATGGGCATTGTTGTCATTGTTATATATATATATATATCTAATATCTATATCTATATATATATATACATTGTATAAGGGCGCTATATGAACTTTAGAAAGTTATGGGTCCACGGCTCGGACCCCCGTCAGGAACTCGGGGTTGGAACTCGGGTGCCAGGTGCAGATCCTGGGGATGTCGATAGTGACGCTGATCTTTGCCCTTTTGGGTTTCCTGTCACCTGCGCACAGGCGCCAGGATGGTGGCAGTGGATGGTACTTGTGGACAGAATCACAAGAGATGAACGGAGTTGAAGTTTTTTTCGGTTCAAATGGATTGATCTGGGTAAATTATAACGACCTCACTGCGACCTCACTGGAATCATGGTTAGTAAGGGAAATCATCCCCAAATGGCCTTAATTCAGGTTAGTGAAATATTATAATTTACCCAGATTGATAAACATTGAGACTCATGGATATCAAGAGATGTGAAATGGATGATATGAAGGAATCCTCAGATCTGGATGTCAGGGGTGGCCTCCTACAGTCCATGATGATGCTGTTCACCTTTATGGGAGTGCCTCGGTTCAAAAAAACCTCAGAGCTGCACGATGCTGCACGTCATTTCCAGTTGCGCTGAGGTGTTTGGAGGCTATTCCTCTGTGCCCTGGCTGAGGGATGCGATGGATTTTTTATGGTTTCTTTAGCTGAGAATCACTTGGCATGTCATCATGGACATATCCTGATTCTGGAAGAGTGTTTTGGCCTCTTGTTTTGTTTTTGCCTTAAAAGAATGTGCCACTGATGAAAAAACATATTCAGTGGTTACAAAGAAGGTGGACAGTCGAACCAGTTGATATTAGTTGTGCTGAGTTTGGTTGTCTTTGTGGCGTCACTACACATCTTTGCCCTCTGGGCATATTTACTTCTGTACTCATTTCACAAGTCTGCTGTGCTCTGAATACGACATTAGGTATGTCAGGTATGTTTCGTTGGAAACACAATCCAACTTGCCTAGAAGGCACTTTGATAAGATGGACCTTGTTCCATCTTGTTCCTTGCTATTGGGCATAGCTTAGTTATGCCCAGCCATGCCCAGAATCGTGGAAAATCTGTGGAGGCCAGGCTCTACAAGGTCTTCAATGGAGAGGACTGGAAGACCAACACCCTGATGACGGCCATGTTGTACCCAGGGATCGGAGCTGAGAACCTGATTGGAACGAAAATTTTGGGCATGAACCTGGCTTTGTCCCAAAAAAAATAGATGGATGTAGATGGATGTATCACCAAACTTCGCCCATTGATTGCCGATTTTGACTGGCAAATGATGATCAAACTATGTTGATTTTTTGGGATCATTTTTGGGACAAAGTTCAGATGGGCCCTGCTGAAGCTTATTTTCTGTGACCTGAGGGTGATCTTTCTGGTCTTTTTCATCCTGAACTTGTTCATTTGGGGTCAGAAATCCTCTGGTCAGATGCTCAGGGATGCTCAGGGATGCTGCTCAGTCACCAAATGGACCGTCGGATGGGTTTGTGCTTTGAAGATGTGGCAGGTGCCGTGCCCTTCACAACGATGTTTGCGCTGTTGGTTCTGTGGTTTGGTATTTCTGTGCGGCAGCCTGGACATGCCTGGACCACCTCGAAATGTCGCTGCTCGATGTGGATGTATCAGGTATTTGCCTGGTATTTCTGCAGCTGCCCGATTCAACATCTGCAAAACCTGGTCTAGTAATTCTTGGAATATGCAGACTCATGGACCATGAACATTTCCAGAGAATTTTACCAGAAAAAAAAATAACCATGAGTCTCTTGCAAAAGTGACGAAAAACTCAGCGAAGTTGCCCTTCTAAGGTGCCCTTGGTGTTCTTGGGCTCATACTTTGGATTTCGTCGAGAGGCACACAGCGCGTCCCGTTGCGCGTCGCATTGCGCGTGGCGTTGCGCGCTTTTTCCGCAGATTTTCGTCCAGTTTGGACACTTCCAGACACTTCAAGACACTGCACACCCAGATTTTCTGAGTTTTTTTGGATCTGAGTCTGGTTTGAACGGCTTTCTAGCCTGCCCCTTGCCTTTTGTCATCCTGCATCGACCTTGCGTACCTAGAATTGATGAATCTGGCTGAAGGTGGGCGAGAATTTGCCAACACCTTTGGCACACACACACACACGTTTATGCATGTTTGTATATTCGTATATATTCGTAGAGTTCCACATGATTCCACATTATTCTGTTTGAACTTGACCCATAGGCTCAAGTGGGTGGTTCTCCACTTGCCTGCCCTTCGACTAAAGTTCCTCCGTGTTGTTTTGTTTTGCCTTGCCGCGCTCATATCAGACATTGATTCGACATCGATTCGACATCGATTCGACATCGATTCGACAGTATCGATAGGTATCGATATCAGGATCTGAAACTATGGAGAGATCGGAGAGTTTGGAGGTTTCGGTGACAGTCCACAGCCTTGGAGGGGACATCCTTTTGGAGACATGTTCGGTGTCTTCGATCCAGGATATCCATGAGCTGGCAGATGCGTCGGCTCAGAAGCTGAATGCGAAGAAGTGTCACATGGTCTCCTCTGACGGGAAAATCATCTCTGAGTTTTTTGATCTGAAAAATCACGATCGACTCACAGCAGTGGCGCAACATGTGAGCCCTTTGTTGCAATTAGTCGGGTTGCAGAACGCACAGGGCGACCTGGTGGACGCAACATACGCAACTGTACCGATGGAATTGCTGGAGCAGATAGCTTTGGAGGTCGCTTCTGGGCTTGCGCACATCGCCTGTTGGTTCGGAGGTCCTCAGCATCTCGCTGGGTCTCCGAGTCTTCCCTGGAGGTTCGGCTCCTTACCGCCTCCTGGTCCTTTCAATGACGAGATGCGACTGAGGATTGGGCCCGGCACTCCCGTGGTACATCTGGGCGCCATGGTGGTTTTGTCCATCACAGATGGTTTGCCATGTTTTCCTGCCGTGCAAAAGATCAGAGCAACCAGAGAGCTAACAGTTGATGACATCATCAAGATCCGATCTGCCCATCAAGATGAATGCAACAAGAACAAAATGAAGTTGCTGGAACAGCATCCAGGGGCAGATACAGTGCTGGCTATCATGAGCTTGGTGAGGTATACAGCGGAGGAAGTGTTCTTTGAGCTTAGGCACCGCGCCGTGAAGCTTGGAGAGGACATCTAGGAAGACGAGGTGGACTCTCAACTCATCTCGACTCGTCGACTCAAATTTCAAGTGACTCAAATGAAACGACAACGAGACTCGATTCGTCGAGTTTCGTCGAGTTCCGTCGAGTTTCGTCGATTCCTTGGCAAAACTCGGCGCTCTCATTTTGTTTCGGGAAGATTCCGAATCCTTGGCCTCCATGGGTCGGGTAGAGGGGTTTCTCAGAATCTCTGTGACAGCAACTGGGTCGTAAGCGAAATTCGGAGCATGCCCTCGGTGACATGCTGTCCCTGTGATAGGGAACAGGAAAATGGACACATCGGACAGGATATATCAAAGGCAGTCACAAGCTTTCATAAGCAAATTTAAGGGCTGCCGCCCCTGCCGCCGACCCCGGAAAAGAATGTGAAGAAGCTGGGGAAGGCCAGAGACTTCGGACAAAGTGACATAGTCGGTGGATTACCAAGGTCACAAGATTGACCTAAATATTCTTCAGTATTTCATAAGGTATATTTAATATTTTTGAATGCAATATATTTGACAAGATATTTTGATATAGTAAGAACACCCACCCACCAAACCCCTTCACCCCCCTGAGCAGTTCCTCGACGACTTCAACCAGAGTCTGGGTCTTGAGCTCGTGAATTACTGTCCCCTGCAGCTCTTGTTTGGTGGCTCCAAGCTGCAAGCATCAGGCCTCCAGAACGGACCCTTCGCCACAGCAAAACAGCACCTAATTGCGTGCCGAAACCGTGCTCAAACTTATCCACACAAACTGCTTAACGTCCCTTGTGAATTCCTAGAAAAAATATATTTTTCTGTCTCCTGCAGCTGTTGTGTGGTGGCTCCAAGCTGCAAGCATCAGGCTTCCAGAAGGAACCCTTCGCCACAGCAAAACAGCACCTAATTGCATGCCGAAACCGTGCTCAAACTTACCCACAAAAACCGCCTAACGCCCCTTCTGAATTCCTTGAACAAATATCTCTTTTTTATTTCATTTGTTTCCTGCAGCTGTTGTCTGGTGGCTCCAAACTGCAAGCATCAGGCTTCCAGAAGGGACCCTTCGCCACAGCAAAACAGCACCTAATTTCGTGCCGAAACCGTGCCCAAACTTATCCACAAAAACTGCCTAACGTCCCTTCTGAATTCCTAGAAAAAATGTCTGTCTTTTTCTGTCTCCTGCAGCTCTTGTTTGGTGGCTGCAAGTTGCAAGCATCAGCCCTCCAGAACGGACCCTTCGCCACAGCAAAACAGCACCTAATTGCGTGCCGAAACCGTGCTCAAACTTATCCACAAAAACTGCCTAACGTCCCTTCTGAATTCCTAGAAAAAATGTCGACTTTTTCTGTCTCCTGCAGCTCTTGTTTGGTGGCTGCAAGTTGCATGCAAGCATCAGGCCTCCAGAACGAACCCTTCGCCACAGCAAAACAGCACCTAATTGCGTGCCGAAACCGTGCTCAAACTTATCCACAAAAACTGCCTAACGCCCCTTCTCAATTCCTGGAAAAAATCTATCTTTTTTTGTTTTTTTGTTTCCTGCAGCTGTTGTCTGGTAGCTCCAAGCTGCAATCATCAGCCCTCCAGAACGAACCCTTTGCCACAGCAAAACAGCACCTAATTGCGTGCCGAAACCGTGCTCAAACTTATCCACAAAAACTGCCTAACGCCCCTTCTGAATTCCTAGAAAAAATTTCTCTTTTTTATTTTATTTGTTTCCTGCAGCTGTTGTTTGGTGGCTCCAAGCTGCAAACATCAGGCTTCCAGAAGGAACCCTTCGCCACAGCAAAACAGCACCTAATTGCGTGCCGAAACCGTGCTCAAACTTATCCACAAAAACTGCCTAACGCCCCTTCTGAATTCCTAGAAAAAATGTCTGTCTTTTTCTGTCTCCTGCAGCTTTTGTTTGGTGGCGCCAAGCTGCAAGCATCAGTCCTCCAGAACGGACCCTTCGCCACAGCAAAACAGCACCTAATTGCGTGCCGAAACCGTGCTCAAATTTATCCAGACAAATTGCCTAACGATGCCTAACGTCCCTTCTGAATTCCTAGAGAAAATCTGTTTTTCTGTCTCCTGCAGCTGCTGTTTGGTGGCTCCAAGCTGCAAGCATCAGCCCTCCAGAACGGACCCTTCGCCACAGCAAAACAGCACCTAATTGCGTGCCGAAACCGTGCTCAAACTTATCCACAAAAACTGCCTAACGTCGCTTCTGAATTCCTAGAAAAAATTCTCTTTTCTGTCTCCTGCAGCTGTTGTTTGGTGGCTCCAAGCTGCAAGCATCAGGCTTCCAGAACGGACCCTTCGCCACAGCAAAACAGCACCTAATTGTGTGCCGAAACCGTGCTCAAACTTACCCACAACTGCCTAACGCCCCTTCTGAATTCCTAGAAAAAAATTCTTTTTCTGTCTCCTGCAGCTGTTGTTTGGTGGCTCCAAGCTGCAAGCATCAGGCTTCCAGAAGGAACCCTTCGCCACAGCAAAACAGCACCTAATTGCGTGCCGAAACCGTGCTCAAACTTACCCACAAAAACTGCCTAACGCCCCTTGTGAATTCCTAGAAAAAATCTATCTTTTTTTGTTTTTTAGTTTCCTGCAGCTGTTGTCTGGTAGCTCCAAACTGCAAGCATCAGGCTTCCAGAAGGGGCCCTTCGCCACAGCAAAACAGCATCTAATTGCGTGCCGAAACCGTGCTCAAACTTCCCCACAAAAATGACTCTTCGCCACAGCAAAACAGCACCTAATTGCGTGCCGAAACCGTGCTCAAACTTACCCACAAAAACTGCCTAACGCCCCTTCTGAATTCCTAGAAAAAATTTCTTTTTCTGTCTCCTGCAGCTGTTGTTTGGTGGCTCCAAGCTGCAAGCATCAGGCTTCCAGAAGGAACCCTTCGCCACAGCAAAACAGCACCTAATTGCGTGCCGAAACCGTGCTCAAACTTACCCACAAAAACTGCCTAACGCCCCTTCTGAATTCCTAGAAAAAATTTCTCTTTTTTTGTCTCCTGCAGCTGTTGTCTGGTGGCTCCAAACTGCAAGCATCAGGCTTCCAGAAGGAACCCTTCGCCACAGCAAAACAGAACCTAATTGTGTGCTGAAACCGTGCTCAAACTTACCCACAAAAACTGCCTAGCATCCCTTCTGAATGCCTAGAAAAAATATCTCTTTATTTGTCTCCTGCAGCTCTTGTTTGGTAGCTCCAAGCTGCAAGCATCAGGCTTCCAGAAGGGACCCTTCGCCACAGCAAAACAGCACCTAATTGCGTGCCGAAACCGTGCTCAAACTTACCCACAAAAACTGCCTAACGACCCTTCTGAATTCCTAGAAAAAATATCTCTTTTTTTGTGCATCAGGCTTCGACTGGCTGCCTGCTACCTGCTTCTTGACTGCTGGCCCTGCTGGCTACTCGCTGCTGCTGGCTGCTACCTAGAGAATCCCAAATGCTAGGGAATCTCTTCGGGAATCCTAGACTACAAAAACGCGGGCCCCGGACTGCGAAACATCATATTGCTGCTGCTGCCTGCCTGCTGCTTACCCTTATAAGTACAAGCTGCATGGCTTTGTGACTGCCTGCTGCTGCCTACTGCTGCCTGCTGCTGCCTGCTGCTGCTGCTGTTGCTGCTGCTGTTGCAAGCTTCCAAATGGTCGGCGGAAAATGTCTTATTCCCTGGCGCGCTCCCCCTTGCGTCGGCCGGGGTCAACATGGCACACGGGTCTGCAACGCATGTCATGTGGCCACAGTCCAAGCTGCCATCCGCAAGCGTGCCGCAGCGTTGAATGCAGAACCCCAAAAAGGGCCTAACGTCACTTCTGAAATCCTACTATAAAATTGAAACTTTGCCGCTGCCTGCCGCTGCCTGCTGCTGCCTGCTGCCTGCTGCTGCCTGCTGCTGCCTGCTCCTGCCTGCTCCTGCCTGCTGCTGGCTGCTGCCTGCTGCTGCCTGCTGCTGCCTGCTGCTGCATGCTGCTGGCAGAAGCTGCTTGCTGCCTGTTGCTGCCTTCTGCTGGTGCTGCTACTGGTGGCTGCTCCTGCTGCTGCTGTGGTGCTGCTGTGGTGCTGCTGCAATCAAACAGCCTCCAAAGCAAGAAACAAACAGCCAGACACCCTTTTCGAAACACATCCGAAAGAGCAAAAACGTAGCAATGGAACCCCAAAAAAGGGCCTAACGTCACTTCTGAAACCCTACTATAAAATTGAAACTTTGCCGCTCCTGCTGCTGCCTGCTGCTGCCTGCTCCTGCCTGCTGCTGGCTGCTGCTGGATGGGAAAACACCATGGCAGTGAAGGACGGAGAAAACCCAAAATTGCACCCCATAAATGCCTAACGAAAACGCATAGAAAATGATGATTTTGGTTGCTTTTTCCTCTTGCTGCTGCTATGAATTTTGGCTACCTTTTCCTCCTGCTGCTGCAGAGGCTTTTGCTGCTGCTGCTGGTCCCCGACCCGTTGTTGTATTTCTTGTTGTCTACAACCTCTCTCCCCTGACGCGCTCCC